CCAAGATTTTTAGTGCTCAGTACCAGTTATTTCAAGTAGGACTACTTTAGTAGTCATAATCTCTTCAGTGGAAGTAATGAAGCAAAGCTGACAAGCTGTAACAGCACGATCAAAGGTTTCAGACTTTTTTTTTTTTGAAGGTACTATTTCAAAATTGCATTACAGGAAGAACTATTCTCAATCAAACACTCTAGAGTAAAGGAATCTTCTGTCAGTGAGAAATTCTGACTCAATTTTTAGTTTATCCTCTGAGTGTAACGCAGAGCTAAAATGTTTCCTTATTTAATCTTGGACTAACGCTGAAAAAGGGTTTATTGAAAGCTCTTTGGCCTACATTTTGCTATTTGAGGACACTAACAAATCTGCCCAAGCAAAGAAATAAGCCAATTGTGTAACACTAAAATTTACCATGTAGCACCCCTTTAACATTCTATGAATGAATGGGTATCAATGCACATAATAAATAAAAACTGACTCAAATTTTGCAGCCAACTGGCAATATCCTCAGATATGCTTCCCTCCACCCACAGCTTAGTTTATTAAAAACAAGACTTCAGACACCTTTTTAAAGCAGACAGACAACACATAAGGGAAGTATAACAGAGTCAATACCTTGTCAGGGCAGAAAAGTTAGTAAGTTCTGCTAGGCACAGTGGAAGATACCTACGTGATGTTTATGTCCACACTGACCCCAGGCACTCCTCTTTCTGTGTACATCAGTGCAACTGTTGATATCACATCCACAAGCGTGGCTGTCAAACCTCCATGTAGTGTGCCATGTTTGTTGGTATGTTCCTCCTCCACTTTCAATTCACACACAACTTTTCCTGGACTTGCAGAAAGAAGTTCCACCTGTATAACCAAAAATGGAATAAAGAGCTTACTGACAGAGTACCAACTCCAGGTGCTGCCCTGAATCAAGCTGAAAGGAGTATTTTGGACTCATGAAACAGATGGAAAGACATAAAACATAGTAATTTAACTGTCACATTAGATGTTTCCATAAACTTTGAGCCAATACCATTGGCCTACATGAACTGAAATTTGCATTCCTGGGCACAATTATCCAACACTGAATCATAATGTACTACAGCACCATAATTTACGTACCACTTCTATAGGTGTTACATAGAAAGGTGTTACACAGAAAATCACAGAGCATTTGTGGAACTACACTTCCCCATGTAATCAACAAAAGCAGCTGGATTTTTGAGACCAAGATGTTATTGCATTTCAATTGCTTAAATTATTTTACTCTAGTCTCTGCATTTAGTAGCACTACATTCAAATTCTGAAGACAGATGCAGACCTGGGGTAAGTACTATATATATATATATATATATATATATATATACTTACGCTTTAGCAAATACTTTGAAGAACATTTAGACTGCCACAAGTGAAATATGGACATAATATTTACAGTAATTCCTACTATTTTTTTCTGATTTGTTATCTCAAAGAATTGTGGGTTTTTTTTTTTTAATTTCAGTGTTTCCATACAATTGCAACTGGACTTATTCTCTTTATTCTTAAGATTGAAATGTCTCCAGTTTCACCACTGCTTAGTTATAATGAGCACAATAAGAGCACAATTCCAGTTAAACTCCCTGATATGATAGCAAGATAAGTGGTAACTGAGCACTCAGTCCAACTTCAAATGGAAAAAAAAAAAAAAAAAAAGGGGAAACCACTGAGGCAATGTCCCAGTGTAAAAATAGCACCCTGACCAATGAAGATCCCAAGCGTATGGGGAACAACCATGCTGCAATACACTGCTTCAGACAATTTGCAATTAGGATCTTTTCCCAATGCCTGACACTGGCAGCAGATGATAGCTTCCACTGCCTTTAGGCAGCATTCCAATCTATCAGCAAGGATGGCATCTAGTCTCTCATCTGACACTTGCTGCCTTCTCCCCTGACAGCAGTAGTCAGGTACTTGAATGCTTCTAGGACGTACACAGCTCGAGCTGCTGATCTGTACATCTCCAAAGCCTCTGTGCCTGTCCTCCCATGTATCTCAGTGAGCTGCTTCAGCTCCCAGTCACATCCCAGTTAAAACCCACAGATGTTAAGCCCTATGTGGATACTACATTGGAATTAAATCAGAAAATTCCTCTGATGCTAGAGCTGAAAAGTCTCAGCCTAAAATCTGTCCTCTCCAGAACAGGAAAGGAATCTCAAGTAAGAAAAGCTTCAGGTAGCTCCCAGAATCACAGGATCTTAGGGGCTGGAAGGGACCTCTGGAGATCATCTAGACCAACTCCCTGCTAAAGCAATTTCTCTACTGTAGGTGCACAGGAAACCGTCCAGGAGGAATTTGAACGTTTCAGGGGACGAGACTCCACAACCTGTTCCATTGTTCTGTCACTCTCAAAGTAAAGAAGTTTTTCCTCACATTCATATGGAACTTTCCATGTTCCAGCATGTGCCTGTTGCTCCTTATCTTGTTGCTGGGACCACTGAAAAGAGCCTGGCCTCACCCTCTAGATATTTATAAAGTATTGATAAGATTCCCTCTCAGCTTCCAGGCTGAACAGGCCCAGGTCTCTCAGCCTCTCCTTGTATTGGAGAATGCTCCAGGCTCTTAATCATCTTTGCAGCCCTCCACTGGACTCTCCAGAAGTTCCCTGTATTTTTTGAACTGTAGAGCCCAGAACTAGATGCAGTACTCCAGATGTGGCCTCACCAAGACACAGTAGAGGGAGAATCACCTCCCTCAACTTGCTGGCCATGCTCTTTTGCTCACACCGCAGGATACCATTGGCCTTCTTGGTCATGTGGGCACACTGCTTGTTCACGGCCAACCTGCTGTCCACCAGGACACCCTTGATCCCTCTCTGCAGAGCTCCTCTCCAGAAGGTCAGCCCTTAACCTTACTGTTATTCCTCCCCAGGTGTAGGACTCTGAACTTGCTCTTGTTGAACCTCATCAGGTTCCTCTATACCCAGCTCTCCAGCCAGTCCAGGTCTCGCTATCCTTTCATCCAGGTCACTGATTAAGCTGTTGTATAAGACCAGACCAAGTACCGACCCCTAAGGAAAACCAGTAGCTGCAGGCCTCCAACCAGACTCTGTACTGATCACTACTCTCTGAGTGAGCTCTGTCAGTCATAGAATCATAGAATGGCATGGGTTGGAAGGGATCTCAAGGATCATCAAGTTCCAATCCCCTGCCACAGGCAGAGTCGCCAGCCACTACATCAAGTACTAGATCATTTTGCCCAGGGCCCCATACAGCCTGGCCCTAACACCACCAGAGATGAGGCATTCACAACCTCTCTGGGCAACCTGTTCCAGCACCTGACCACTCTGACTAAAAAACTTCCCCCTGACATCTAATGTACATCTCCCTTATTTTAAAAGCATGCCCCCTTGCTCTTTTACTATCTACCCTCATAAAAAGTCGATTTCCTTCATGTTTATGAACTCCTTTTAAATATTGGAAGGCCACAGTGAGTCAGCCAGCTCTCCCACATGGCTGTCCACTTCTCTATCCCACACTTCTAAGTTCACCTATAAGGATGTTAAAGTGTCAAATGCATTGCTGAAATCAAGGTACACAACATCCGTTGCTCTCCCCACATCTACTCAGCTGGTTATGACAACAGCAGATGCTTGAAATTCAAACAAAACTATGATTTTATAGCTTTCTGCTTCTAGAAGGGGGTTTCAGAACAAATCACAGCATTTCCCCCCAAAAAGGTAAGAAGCTTGCCTCTCTAGGCTGAATTACAGCAAGTTACCTTTTTTAGCTGAGTGCTGCACCCATTATCCAACTAATGGAATTTTAAGGTGCAAGAAGAGTAGAATTAGCAGGGTGAAGATGTCAGTAGGAACTGATTGAAGTCATTGTAACTAATGGACTCTTTACAACTCTATGAGCTTCCTACAGCATTATACTTTCTACACATAAGACCAAAATGTCTAGGGGAAACACAACGATAGTTGCTTTCATAGAATCGTTTGAGTTGGGAAGGACTGTTAACGGCCATCTAGTTCAACTCCCCTGCAACAAACAGGGACACCTACAGCTAGATGAAGTTACTCAGAGCCTCATCCAGCCTGACCTCGAGCATCTCCAGGGACAGGGCATCTACAGCCTTTCTGGGCAACTTGCTGCAGTGCCTCATCACTCTTACTGTAAAAAACTTTTTCCTCGCATCCAGTCTAGACCTTCCCCTTTGAAAACAGTTACTTTCTTTAAGCATCAAGTGATGGAGCTGACAAGGAAAATACTGCTTCTGCTCTCAGTTTTGCTCCTCCAACTCAAAAAACAAAGGTTCTGGTAGGGCTGTTTGCTCAGAGGCATTCACTTCATCTCTGCACAGCAGGGTTCCACGCACACACAGACAACGTAACACCAGAACCAGAACCCTGGCTCTGCAAAACTTAATGAAGGCCCTGAAACTGCTTTGTGGGAGAACACATCAGCTGCGCTACCATATGTAATAGACATAGTAACACCATTTTAACCATGTTTTAATTGTACTGTAGCATCACCTTACTGTAATATCCCTTCTATAACTCTGTGACTGCAGAGCAGCGCCAGACCACCACAGTTCCTAACACTTGAGTCTTGCCGGCAGCTCGCAGACCCGTGACACGTTTGCTTTTTCAGCATAACTTCAAGGTATCTGTTATGATGGGCACTCGTTTTTATTTTTAAGCAGAGAGCAGTAACAACATTTCAACGCTTCATAACCCTAAAAGCGACCTTGGCCATCGGCATTACGAAGGAAGCGTTACGCACACCACTCCTATTTCCCACCGCCCTGGGGGAGCAGGGACTCGTCAGCCCGCCCTACCTTGCCGAGCACCCTGTCGAAGTTCTGCGACTTCACCATGTTCTTAAAGGCATCTCGCATGCTCTCCACCGTGGCGCGCATGCTGCCCATCCCGGTCACGGCGCCCGATCACGGCACCCGCTCACGGCGTCCGGTCACGGCGCCTTATGACGCGGCGCGGCCCGGAACGGCTCGGCCCCGCTTCCGCCCCGCCCGCAGAGCCATGGAGCTGGAGGCGCGGGCCGAGCCACGCTCCCCGCGGGCGGGGCGTGGGGAGGAGGATGAGGAGCTGCGGCTCACCAAGCGGAGGAAAGTGCTATGCTCCGAGTTCGCCGCCGTCACCAGCAGCGACGAGGCAGTGGCGAGCGGCTTCTTGGCGAGCAGCGGCTGGCACCTGGAGGTAGGGCCGGCGGCGGGGGGCGAGGGGAGCGGCCGCCATTCCTCTGTACTCTGCCTCTGTGTTTCAGAGGGCGCTGGACGCTTTCTTCGAGGCGCCAATGAATGAGCAGGCGGCGGCAGCAGGAGAGGGCTCGGCGGGGCCCGGCAGCTGGTGAGTGCCCCTCTGGTCTTTATAGCTGAAAACAAGCTGTGTTTGGTAACAGCTCGACCGGAAAGCCAGGTGACGTCGGCCTCTTCTCACAGGTGACAGTGATAGGATGAGAGGGAAAGGCCTCAAGCTGTTCCCGGGGACGTTCAGATGGGATATTAGGGAGAATTTCTTCTCCAAAAGAGCAGTGAGGCAGTGGCACAGGCTGCCTAGGGAGGTGGTGAGGCCAGCATCCCTGGGGGTGTTCAGAACTGTGTGGATGTGGCACTGGGGGATGTGGTCAGTGGGTGTGTGATTCTATGGCTCTATAGAATCATATATCTTTTTTCATGTAATCGTATGAAAAAAAGAATCTTACCAAGCATCATTCCACAGATGGAGTCAGAAGATGACTGCATCAAACTGGAGACACCTTTTCACAGGATTATAGAATGGCCTGGATTGAAAAGGGCCACAGTGATCATCTAGTTTCAACCTCCTGCTATGTGCAGGGTTGCCAACCAGCAGCCCAGGCTGCCTAGAGCCACATCCAGCCTGGCCTTGAATGTCTCCAGGGATGGGGCATCCACAACCTCCTTGGGCAACCTGTTCCAGTGTGTGACCACTCTCTGAGTGGAAAACTTTCTCTTTTCTCCCCTGTTGTCTTTGCACTGTGGTTTCTGCCTTGAGCAGGGTGTACAGGTAGGGCTCTGTGGGCTTCCTGGTGAGAGAAGAGTGCAACTATGTGCTAATGTTTTGCTGCAGGGTGTTTGGCTTCCCAGCATGCTTTTAGCAAGCTGCTGCTCAGCTCTGTGGTGCACATCTCACGGTTGGCTGGGACTTGTGTGGCAGTGTAATCTTGTACTATTAGTTCAGTACAACATAAGAAAACAGTACTGTGTTCTAGGAAGCGTAAAAGCTTTAGGGTTGGAAGAGATCTCTAAGATCATCCCACCCCCACCGTGCCCACTAATCATGTTTCTCAGAGCTACATTCACATTGTTTTTGAACACTTTAAGAGTTGGTGACCTCACCACCTCCCTGGGCAGCCTGTGCCACTGCCTCACCTCTATTTCAGAGAAGAAAATTTTCCCAATATCCTACCTGAACCTCCCCTGGCACAACTTGAGACCATCACCTCTTATCCTATCACTGTTACCTGGGAGAAGGGGCTGACTCCCACCTTGCCACAACTTTCTTTCAAGTCATGGTAGAGAGCAATAAGGTCTGCCCCAAGCCTCCTCTCCTCTAGACTGCACAATACCAGGGAATAGATATTATCAAACTGCAGTATCCCAGCAGCTGAAACAGACTTAGGTATACTACTGAACATCATTTGTTTTACATTCTCACTTTACTAAAGGAATTTTCTTTGGGCCATGCTTCATTGGTAGAGTCCTCTTTAGAGACTTAGTCCCCTGGCAGTGACTGGATTGGGCACTCATACCTTGATGGTGCTTTTCTGAAGTGCAATTTGGGGTGAATATTCCCCAAGAAAATGACTATCTTGTTGCATGGTTTTTTTGAGTTTGCCCTTGCCCAAGGGGAGCTCAGAAACCTCCGCTGCATTATGAGGATGGGCTCATAAAAACAAGGGCTTGACTGCAGTCTTTGTTTCTAGTATGATGGAGAATGTTTGCAGATTTTACATGCACAGTCTGCCCCTGGCACGGTGAAAGAAATGAATTCCTTAGGTGCATTGGATAGAGTTGGTTGCCATCCAGTTAATTTTAATTTGGAATGGAAGATGTTATTTTGTATCTATAAGGAAGGGGAAGAAAAGGCTCCATGTGATTAAAGTTACTGATCTTCTGAATTACAATAAGAAATCACTTCACGTTAATTTACTTGTTGGGAAAGTTTTATATGGTTGTCTGTAAATTGTGATGGGTGTAAAACATTGTATTTTAGAAGATAAGAGAGGCAAATGCAGTAAGAATAATATTATGCATGATGACAAACAATGTCTCTTTAGTATTGACCTCACAGCAGATGAAACTGCAAGTAATACCAGCAGCAGCAGTGCAGGCTCCAAGCAACAAGATGATGACAGTAGCTTCTCGCTGATAACCTGGAACATTGATGGGCTGGACCTGGAAAATCTGCAGGAGCGAGCTAGAGGTGTCTGTTCGTACCTGACATTGTAAGCATGGCTTTGTCTTTGTATTGTTATGTACCCACCTTAAAGTGAGCTTCTCATTTTAGATAATGAAAAAATCTTCATGTCCAAATTATCTTCAGATTAGACGCAGTAATGAAGTCGTCATACAAATCTTAAGACTGATTGGAGGAGGTGTGAGCTTGTGCAGCATTTCAAGTTAAAGACTTTGCAGTGACTAAAAATCTTTTGGTAACGAACAGTATTGCTTACATCAAGTTTATGCCTGTGTCAGGAGCATGCTTCATACTTCCATCCTGTACAGGAGAAGAGGGTGAAAATGCAAGAAGCTTGTTTGCTTCAGTCTGCTGGTGTGAGTAACTTCATTCTGGAGCATTTGGAGGACCACCAGCATTCTTTGTTTGATTTGTTGTTTGAAAAATGGATCCCTTGCCAGTACTGTTACTTATCTATAAAGGATGATAATGTGCAAGCTAATATGAAAGCAGTAGTATCTGTGATTGCCTTTTATAGTTGTACCATTTGAAGCTTCCTGTTAATACTCTTATGATTAATTTGATAATTGCATAAATTGGTGTGTCTTAATATGGTAATTTATCAGTGTAAATTAAATTGGTTTAAACAAATGTTAATTGGTTCTTCTGAGCCCAGCAGAAACTCTTAACTAAATTGATTTTTTTCTTGATTTTTAATAATGTGTTGATTTTTTTTTTTTTTCCTGTAGAAGTGAATTTATAAGCAAGAAGGTGACTTTTTACACAGTCTAATAGTGATTGGACAAGGGGGAATGGCTTTAAACTGAAAAAGAATGAGATTAAGTTAGATGTTAAGAAGGTGCTGGCACAGGTGCCCAGAGAAGCTGTGGTGCCCCATCCTGGAGGGGCTCAAGGCCAGACTGGATGGGGCCCTGGATAGCTGAGCTGGTGGGGGGCAGCCCTGCCTACAGCATGGGGTGGGGATGGATGGGCTTTGAGGTCCCTTCCAACCCAAACCATTCTGTGATTCTATGAAATTTGTCCTCTGACTGCCTAGAGAAGGTCTATTCAGCAGTGTAACAAAAAAGGGCAGCTATAAAAGAGACTTTCAGGAGTCCTACCCCACATGTGCTGTTACTGGTGGCATAGCTCTAAGGAGCTTGGCATTGACGAATGGCAGATTAGCTGAGACGGATCTGTTTTAAAGGAATGAGATGGAGGGTAGAATTTCCTAGAAATCTTATCTGTGGCATAGTATGATCCAAAGCTGCTTTTCAGCTGTTGAAGTTAAATTTCCTTGCATATGTAATAATTGAAAATTATGCAAATGTTTTCAAGTCTAAAGGAAGTAGGGCGTTTTATTGCCATGTTGGTACTGTGCCCATAATAGTCATTGTTTTCTGCTTCAGCATCAGTGGTATGTCTACGTGCTATTATATATCATTAGTACATCTAAGATATCTAGGAAGATAAGGAAAAAATGCACCTGAAATCTCTGACCCTGTTGTGTTTGACATCAGAGTGTAATAATGTTACCTTTTGAAGTAGCTAACTTCAAAACTTGTTTTGCTGATTTCAGATACAGCCCAGATGTCGTGTTTTTACAGGAGGTTATCCCACCATATCTGTGTATTCTGCAGAGGAGAGCAGGCGGTTACACCATTATTCCAGGTACAAAGTAAACCTCAATTTCTTAAGACAGAAACTGGAAAAAACAAGTACAGTTTTGTTCTGTCTTCCTTGCCAAAAGCTTTGACCTCTTGTAGCAACTGAAAAGACTAAGATGACGAAGGAAACATTTAAATTACTTGCTCTATTTTACTACCACCATATAGTTGGATGCAAATTACTCCTGTGAAAGGTTTGCTTGACCGATGGTCTTTTATATACTTATATTTTTTTTCCCACGTTTTGAAAAGCTGATAGCAAAATTATCCCAAAAAGCACCACAGATGAGTAGTTGCTTAAACATTTGTATTAAAAACATATTCACACCACTGTTAAGAAACTTCTGAGTAATCATTTTGTACATCTTGCAAATTAGAATTTTTCTCCCAGATGATAATAATGAGATCTGTGGAAGAGCTTTAACTTTATCCTGTGGCAGATGTCCATGACCTTTTATTTGCCTGTTCCTCTCCAGGTAATGTAGATGGCTATTTCACTGCCATGCTGTTGAAGAAGCCCAGAGTGAAAGTACTAAAGCAGGAGATAATACGTTTTCCAACCACTTCCATGATGAGGAACCTTTTGGTTGTGCATGTGAGTCAGTCTGCCAGTACTACAGCTGTGTGTCTGTCTTCACAACAATAGAATCACAGAAAGGGTTGGGCTGGCCTTATTCGATGGCAGTCTTACACAGAGCATAAACATTTCTTTAAACATATGAATCAAATTGCATTTGGTACTAATAAAATTAAGTCTCTTACATTGCTGGCTGTACTTTGTTTTCACAACTGATAACCTCTGAAAACAAATTAGAAGCCTGTGATCCTCCTCTAAGGCACTTCTCCAATTTATAACAAATATTAACCAGAGTTCTGTCATTCATTAATTTATTTTCTGATTACTTTTTGTCTATGATCTTCGTATCACAGTGTGGAAAATAGCATACCTGTTTTGTTTCATGTACAGGTGAACATATC